AAATTTAAAAATAAATATGCAATTGCTATTAGAACTAAAAAAGAACATAAAATGCTAATTTTCGCGCATCTATAAAGTGGATAATTTTCAGGTCGGGTCACTAATCGTTACCATGCTATTAATACCTCAATTCTTTTATTTAATATTTGTAATTATAGATTTAATATTAGTTATATGTTTCTTTTCATAAAAATGATCTAATTATGGCCTTTTTTTATTTACATCCTATATTTAATCAGATGATAATTTCTTAAAGTTAATATATATATTTAAAATTTGCCAAATAAAGTAAAACACCTCAATTTAATGTTAATTTTTTGACATTTAAAAGTTATTTTAATGTCATTTGAATTAGAAAGCGCAAATATCAAATTAATAAAGTAATTTATAAAAATTTATTATACTGGCTAATGCTGCTAGGCCAGTATAATAAACTTACAAATAAAAATCAATATACCGTATTTGCGCCTTCCCTTATAGATTCAGATGATTTTAAAATAACATTTATTTCGTAAATGTAAATACTGCAACCTGATCATTTGAATACTTTGCAGTGAGAGAATACATATACAACAAATAATCAAAATTCAAATTTATATTAATATTCATTGTTATTGAACAATTTGTAGTAAAATTGGCAATAGGTGAATCACAATTAAGAGAATAAAATTTCTATTTGTACCATAGGTATACTACCTAGATTTTAGGTTGCAGTTTCGTCCTAACAACTATAGTCTCACCGGGGTAGTCAGCAAACTAAAACATATATAATATGTAACATTGTTTTTTTTTTAATAAGTATGGTGTTCTTTATTTGTACATATGGCCCTTATAACTAAAAATTGAGAGCTCAAATTTTGATTAATCGTTATAAGTCTCAAGAAAGTAAGTTACAGAAGGAGTCAAACTTAAATAACAAAATATAGATAAAATAGAAAAAAAAGATTTTCCTAAGTAATATTCAATACGCAGTTATACAATCTTCCAGTATCGCCATCAAAATTCACTCCACACGATCAACGACGAAATTCTTTTAAGTTCGTTAGTTAATATTAAGATTATGGTGAGGGCCTAGGTTAGCTCAAGGAAAACTTTTTGTTAGTGCATAAAAAGTTAATTTCTTATGCAAACTTCTGAAATAGCAATTTTTTCCTGATCACGTTCCATTACACTAAATTATGATCTTTTATTTGCCAGTAATCACGTAAGTGGATTTTTGTTGGCGACACTTGGGTAGTGTAGTTATAACATAGAACCCAATGGATAACCATTTATAGCCTGAATTTTGATATAGTGACCAGGGTATTAAAAAAATTTTCATAAATTTATTAAAAAGTTAATTGGCATTAAAGCTTTCGGATAAAATTGTAACTTTCATCTAAAAAAGGTAAATAAAGGTACACCACTTTTTTATAAACATCAATATACAATACTGTAAATGTAACCAATCATACATACATACATATATGAAATCTTTGATAATCTCAATTAGTGACCACATATAGTTTTTATTTACTTAGAAACTTAGAGCAAATCAGATTTCATGGGCTGATTTTGATAATTTATTTCTATTCCTAGTATTCAAAATAAATATTGCATTATCGTTATTTGTACGTACCATATTCGTATAATCGGAAAAATCAAAAATCCACAAACACTCTTTCTGTAAATCATTTTATCTTATCTGTTATTCGAATATTAATCTATCGAAGAACTTTCTTTTCTATAAATCACTTCTGCCTTATCATGCAAAATTTCAGCCTATAGGGTTATTTAAATTACGCAAAATACATTTTTATGTTACCAATCTGAACACAAGAATTCAAAAAGTCATTTTGTTGGTTCACAAGACATTTTGATAACATTGATTGTTAATCAATGTCTCCAAATGAGTGTTGCCGGCTTGAAATACTTTAAAGACCTCCAGGATTTTATTTGATGTTACTCTATACTCGTTTATTCTTGTGTAAAGTCTCTTGATTATTATTTTTTGGAAGTAAAAATGATCACGTTATAAATGTTGATAATGACGTTTAACAAACTAACCTTTTTTGTTATATATTATTAATAAAACGTTATCTATTCACGCATGACATATTAATATTTTGCGTCACATTTATGCATCACCGATAAACCAAAAATATCGATATTGATTAGAAATATTTTCGGAATGTACACAGCCAAAAGTCTAAATAAGGCTTTTAAAATTATCTTATGTTACAATATCGTCGTTCGCGTGTTGCAAATAATGGATTAATATATATAAATATATCAATATATGAAAGTGTATCTTGGATCAGTATTTTTGAAGAGGATTGGATATCTTTACCTATCGTTCGATCTTTTTTATAATGGAACCTTCAGAACCGACTTTTTCATCATTATTACTCGCTACATGTGAGGTACTTTAATATTAATTTTTTTAATGGTTTGCTGATTCTCTAAATTTCTGATTTTTGCGTATAAACAGTCAAGTGCATATGTAGTCGGTATAGTCTTCATCGGATATTTAGGTGTAAAGAGTGGTATCCTTACTCCAATGATAAAAAAGGTTCTTATTTTTTTTCCTTCATATTTTCTCATTTAGCCAAAATATTCTATAGCAGATGAATACAACTATATTTTATTACTTCTCTCCAGATACTTGCGAAACTAGTTTTGAATCTATTTCTTCCTTGTCTCTTATTTTCTCAAATTGGAGGTACAATCGATTTAGAAACAATAATACAAATGTGGCCTTTACCCGTATTCTGTGTGTTATTCGCAATAATAAGTGGATTTCTTGGAAATTTTGGTGGAAATATATTAAACTTATCCAAATCAAAAAAGAAATTTATAATGTCGGCCATGATATTTAATAATATCACGGCTGTACCTGTAGGATTGATTAAAGCTTTTGTTAGCACAAATGCTATGCAAATTTTTAAATCGAAAAATAATGAAACTCTACAGGATACAGCGTCACGCGGGGTTACCTATTTGTTGTTATCTACTCTTTTCGTTCTCATCATAAGGTTTGTGTCTTGTACTAACCATTTTAGAGTTTATTCTATCTTTAAATTAAAAATTAAAATTTATGATAATTTCGTTTAGACCTTTTGTGGACTCAATTTTACCTGAAGATGATCCCACAGACGCATCCAACCACTCCTCGTTGCCAACACAAAATTCCATGACACAGGTAGAACCAGTAACAGTATTTTCGCATTTAAATAATACCAACCCTACAGAAGAAACTCCATTATTATTATCTTTGAAAGGATCCTCTTCACATTTCCGTAAAATTCTTAATCTAATTAATAATAAGCGTATATTATCAAATATAATGTCACCACCAATATTTGCTGGATTATCAGCTCTGATAATTGGACTAATTCCAATGCTCAAATCGCAATTCTTTGATCCGAAATCTCCTTTATATACCTACCTCACTGTAAACATGAAACTTATAGCCGTACTTACTGTTCCAATGACATTAATTTCTATCGGTGCCCAAGCTGGATGTGTTAAAACCTTATTTATTAAATGGAATACAAATACACATAAACCTATAGTGTATGTAATTATTTGTAGATATTTAATAATGCCTATTATTGGAATATCAATAGTTTTAGGATGTAAGATCGTTGCTAAAGATTTGGATTGGTTTATAATCAATGATTCGATGTTTTTATTTGCGGCAATGTGCTTAGCGTGTTGGCCAACAGCTATTGATCTTTTTGATGCCCAGGATGAATTATTAATCTTAACATATAATTCTTATATTTTACTATTTCCGGTTATTTTGTTTACATTGTTGGGATTGTTGTCAATCGTTGCATATATCGCTGGAACATTTGCTACAGCATTATAAATACATATATGAATAGAAAATGATTTTGCATTGAAAATATATAATTATGTACAGAACTGATATCAAATTTAAGTGTATTAGAAGGTTTATTGGTGAGTGAAGTTGTGATGTTCTTCCTCATGACTTTGTTGGGATTTATTTCTATATTTTATGACACAATGCATAAATTTAAAATAAAATGAAAAACTTTAACGTTAAATTAAAGGGTTCAATATGTTAATCATATAATATTTTTAATTATGATAAATTTGATATAGTTGTTATGATTAGTGTTGGGATCCGGATAGTCATCCGTAACAAAACAGCTATCCGGATAGGACATCCGTATCCATCCGAATATCGGTTGACAAATATCCGTGCTCAAAAAGGCCATCCAGATATCCGTAAATATTACGGATATCCGGATGTTTAACCAAACGGATCCCAACACTAGTCAGGGACCCGTAAAATTTTAGTCGATTTTTTTCTGATAACAAAAAATTTAGGCAAATTTTAGGGAATTTACAAATAAAGGCCCATAAATGAAAAATATTACGAATAAGGGCCCAAAATTAAAATAACTACATATAAGGGCCCAAAAATTAAAAATTATTACAATTAAGGGCCTATCCGATCTCCGAGCTAAGTTCAAGTCACGTGACTTGCGTTTATTCGAGATCGACTGGTCAAGAAAACTCGGCCACGTGACTTGTACAACGATGTGGACCAGTCAAATTCCGAATTAGGATAACTTGAACCAAATTCTGGTTCAAGTCAACCCATTGAACCAGAATTTGGCTTAAGTTAACCTACTTCGGGTTAGCCTGAGCTAAATTCCAGGTCAGGTTAACTCACTTCGGGTACATCAGGTTTACATGAACCAGAATTTGGTTTAAGTTTTCCTAATTCGGAATTTGACTGGTTCACATCGTTGTCAAGTCACGTGACCGAAGTTTACCTGACCAGTTCAGCAGTTGATCTCGAACAGAGACCCGTAAAAATTTTTTGGGTTATACGAAATCTTTATTTGTGTTATTGCAGAAATTTGTATCAATTTGCAATAAGATATTAACTTTATATTAATTTGCTATTTCTTTATTTCTTTTTTGGAAAGTATCGGAAATTTACTCAAAATTTTGATTTGACCTTGCTCGTCTTTTATGTTCATTCATTTTCTATTTCGGAATCTTAATTCAGCACACTATTTGACATTATTAACCAATTAAATTTATAGAATACACGTGAATTTTACCCTTAGAAATTTGTTTTAATTTGCGTAATTAATCTAAATTTGCATTTATTTGTATTAATTTATATACAAGTTTTTACAGGTCCCTGACAAGGACCCGTAAAATTTTCAAAAGAAATTGAAATTTTTTGAAATTTGGCCAAATTTGATTGAAATTTCACGAAATTTGGCCAAATTTGATCGAAATTTTTCGAAATTTTTGGCAAAATTGCTATTGGGCAAGATTAACAATAAAAAAAAAATTTTTTTTACGTTGAATCTAATTACCTGAATTAAAGTAATAATATAGTTTACCGGTACTCTTTATTTTTCTGGTCATCATAGTCTTTATAAAAAAGACAAATTTCCGATTATTTACCAGAAACTCATGAAATAATGACTTCTAAGTTGAAAAAAATTACCCCATATACCCGTCAAAAAGAATTTCCAAATACTTTTAACATTTCTAATAATATATTAATATGTATTTACTGTGGACATTCAGTTACCTGGAAGTATAAAGTTAGCATTACTAGCCATATTAATTCTCAAATCCAATAAAAACAAAAAAAAATTATGAAATATCTGCTCAAAATGGTCAGTTTCAAACTTTGGAAGATTCTTTATCCACAGCAGAGTCTAAAAAAATAGTAGCGAAGGATCTTGTAGAAGCCTTTGTTAAGGCAAATATACCTTTAGAAAAAGTGGATGCATTGCAACCATTTTTTAGAAAGTATTGTAAAGAAGGAGGTTCAGTGTCACAAGCTGATTAATTAAGGCTATATTATTTACCAGAAATTTACCAACAACATATTAATGAATTAAGAGAAGCTTTTCAAGAAAAGCCTGTGGCTATAATTGTAGATGAAACAACTGATAGTCGGGCCAGAAGTTTAGTAAATATTTTAATTAATTACTGAAAGAACACTAAGCTTATAGCAGTAGATTACTTAAATTTGGTTAATAACATTACTATGGGTAAACTTATTGTCAAAACATTAACTGAATGGTTTATACTATTTAACTATTCACATCTCTTGGTCTCTGATTCAGCTTCCTATATGAAAAAAGTTATCGCAAGGTTCTTAAACTAATTTTACTATGACTTGTTTTCTAAATTGGATTTTTCTTGTAAAAAATAAGACCATACAAAGAAAATTTCTTGGTTTACAAAACATAAAATAAAATTTTTGACCCGACCAGCTGGAATTTTTTTTTTTGAAAAAAAATTTCAACCTAATTTAACCAATCAGAAGATAAAATAATGCCTGGTCATGCTAATGTACTCTCAATAAAACTTGATTGGTTGTGTTAAATTAGCCAACTTTATAATAATTATAATTGGTTATATTGTACAGTAATACATAATATTAAATTATATATTCATAATTGACCTATTAATTGATTTCACAATACAGAAACTACCAGAATTACATCTTAATTGTTATTTATTTATAATCTGAATACTGCAAAATGAAAGCCTAAAATTTTATCTTTTGAAAATTTAATTCTAGGTTTAACTTTACTATACTCATTTTAAAAAATACTTTTTTATAATAGTTTATGTTAATTTTACTGTAATGCAAACTAACTTATCTACATACTGAAATTTCTTAATAGCAAGTTTTGCGAATTTTTTATAGTAGCCACAAAAACTTCAATGCAAACTAACTTAGTATTAACTCATAAAATTTTTTAATTTTAACTATATAATATAGTTGTCAAAATAGCAGGTAATTTATGTAACAGAATTTTTATAGTCATAATTCTAATCCAACTAACTTGAAAACTACAAATTATGATTATTATGACAGTGAGCAAGTTCTGTAAAGTAAAATTATAATAATTTTACTACAACCTTAACACCTGTGTGTATTAGAGAGTAAGTTCTGTGATTAATTTATTGTAGTAACTTATAATTCCAATGCAATTAACATGAACATAATTTCATATTATAGTCACTGAAATTAGCATATTCATTGATGGAATTTTTACTATTAATTCTGATGCAGGCTACCTCAACTAGTGTTGCGGGCGAAATTTCTGAAATAGGGTGAAATGTCCGAAAATTGGCGAAACTAAACCTGGTAAAAGTTCCAAAATCTAATATTAGAATTTTTATTAGAAAAAATACCAAGAGTGTAGTGAAACAGAGTGTTGAGATATCTTCACTCAAAGATTTAAAAATCCAACCTTTCTACCAAAGTAAGAGCTGCATCAAACTGTTGTTAACTTTTGAGTGATGATATTTCGACACGCACCAAGCCAAATTCAATGAACTTTTTTTTGTTTAAATTTCATGAATCTGTAGAATTCAAATAAAAAATGTTTATTGAATTTGGCTCGGTAGGTGTCGTTATATCTTCACACGAAGATTTAAAAATTCAAAACGTCCATAAAAAAGAGCTGCGCCAAACTTTTTTTTAAACATTGAGTGAAGATATCATGACACCCACCAAGCCAAATTTGATGAACTTTTTTTTTATTTGAATTCTACAGATTCGTAGATTTTTTTAAAAAAAGTTTATCAAATTTGACTTGGCAAGTGTCAAGATATCTTTTCTCAAAGATTTGAAAAATTCACAGCAGATTTTTAATCTTGATTGGCTAAAAGCGACAATCAAAAAATTAGGCCATTATAACTCATAATTTTACTAATGAAATCGCAGCCGCCTATAAGTGAAAAATGTTTCTTGGTCAATTTTACCATAATGTGGGCTTATTTTTAAAAAATTCTATTTTTGTAAAGAAAAATTAAAAAGCTAATTCCGGCCAGAAATTAGTAAATAATTATGTAATACAGGCCAAAATTTCGAAGATACTTGGCCATTAGCCAATCAAATTCGAGGATCTGCCATGAAAATTTTGTTTAATATCAAAAAGAGCTGTGCCAAACTTTTTTTAAACTTTGAGTGAAGATATCTTAACACCCACCAAACCAAATTTGAAGAACTTTTTTTGATTCTACAAATTTGTAGAGTTTAAATAAAAAAAGATTATCAAATTTGACTTGGTGAGTATCGAGATTACATCACTCAAAGATTTAAAAAATTCAAACCGTCTATCAAAAGAATTAACTAAAGCTACTACTAGTGTTCCACACAGACCAGTTCTGGGCGGGTTTTATTAGGATCTGTACCCATACCGTCACGTGAAGTCGGGTCCTTATATAGACCCGAAACTGTATCATACTAAACCTGAAACCAAACTGGGTACTAATATTAATTTTTTCGATATGATATCACTTTATAATATATGTATAATAAATTAAATTATTTATACT